CTTAGGATGCATGTGAGGCACGTTTTACGATGTATATCTGAGGAACATGGTTCACAACATACTTCTCGGTAAGTCAGTAAAGCAAACGTAATTGTGCTACTTTCCTTTGCGATTTAAATCGTATACTTTCCAAAATCATTTTCTTTGGAATTTTGGAAAATAGGGTTTAGAGAAAAATGTGTGAGATGTTTTTTTAACACGGTTTATATCTAAAAGGCGAGGTTTCTATAAGTTTGCAACCTTAAACAATCCAATTAAGGTGCACCTTAAAATTTTATCATAACATGTAATTTTGTTGTAAAAGATTCTTAGTATTATCTTAAAATCTATTTTCATACCTAATAGAAAATTTTAGATTCTAAAAATGGTTAACATCAAGTAGATCTATAAATATATAAAAATCTTGAAAATGGACGGTCTAGATAATGTGTTGCAAGATATACTATTTTTTAGATTCAAAAAAAAAAATTCATATTCATATATCTCGATGTCGAGATGATTGATTAGAAGGCTTTTTCAACATTAAAACAACATTTCCAATAGACTTTTGAGGTGCTTTTGTGATTCGAAATTTTAAGGGTGCAACCTTATATAAACTTTTCCCATATCTAAAATATTATATTATGGCTTTGGACGTCTCTGAAACCTCCAGCCTCATTTATAGTAGTAATGGACCACACTGCCCCTTCAGAATGACTTAAGCTCCGATTATTATTTTTTTTTAGAAAATATTACAAAAACCTATTATAAATAATTTATTATTTTTTAGATTTTTATAAATTCATTTTTATTTTTATTTTTAAGCTAAAACAGTCAAGCCTATTGACCACCCAAAGCGGCCAAGTCCAAGTAACCCGGTCTGTTCCATTTCAACCTGGCCGGGTTGCTGAACAATGGCTACTACACAGCGTTGGGAGAGCAAAATAAACAAACATTTACGGCTAAATCGCATATTTTCACTTCTTTTTTATTATTATCACTTCTTTATTATTATTATTATGAAATGACTCTTCTTTAGGTCATGTTCGTTCAGTATCTATTTGAGATAGCGTTGTTTTGTCCATGGCAATGTGTATAGAGGAGTTTTAATTAGCACTCTGGGTTCGCAATTGCCAATTACAATCGACAGTTGTGAGGGACTAACTATTTTTTTTTTTTAATGCCCAGAATCCTTTAAGTTTTGCTGGAATTTAATCGCTTCAGCTTTGTTAGAGAATTAGGTCATTTTATCAGAGGAGTCGGTGATTCGGGTCATAAAATGAAGCAATTACAGCCTAATTTAACGTGTTCTATACTTTTTAGTAGGGTGAGGTTTGTATAAAGTGCTCACCTTTTTTTTTTTTTGATCGAAGTTAAGTAATTTTATTGATCAAAGACTAAAAAGAGATTACAGAATTTGAGACCACAATCTCAGTTAAGGTAGAGCCACCTTTAGCAAGATAGTCTGCCACAACATTAGCCTCTCGAAAGACATGAACAAATGAAAATGTGAAGGATCTAGACAAGTCCCAATTCTGCAGCAGGATAGAGCGATGTTCCCATAGCGGTTTTAGGATCCCATTATACCAGTTGATAACATTCGACAAATTCCCTTCCACCACACAATACGTCCCCACCATTTTGTCTACAAAGAGTTTTAGTCCATTGAAAAGCGCCATAAGTTCAGCAAAGTTTGTCGTTTTCTCCCCCAATAGTCCTGAAAAGGAGAATACTACAACTCTATTCCATTCTCTTACAATACCTCCAAAACCAGCGAGGCTTAGGTTTCCAAACGAACTTCCATTAAAATTGAGTTTGAAAAACTCTTCCATAGGTGGCACCCTTCGGTCTACTCTTCACTACTCCTAGATGAAAGAGATTCGCTAAATTTCTCTTAACATCTATTTCCAAAAAATCTTTACCAACTTTAGTAACTGAGCATGAGAGCCACATCGCATGCAATATTTTCTCTAAAATTCTCTCAACAGGCAGGCCGATACCGTAAAAAATTCTTCAATTTCTTTCCTTCCAAACATCCCATAAAATCATGCCCTTAGCAATCTGCCAAATAACCATTCCAGTTCTAGGTAACCAACTTACAAACAAGTTTGAAATAACCCCAATCACATTCGTAGGCATAACAATAGTGATCCCCAATTTATCAAAAACCTGCTGCCAAATTCTTAAGATAAAAGAGCAATGGAGAAACATATGAGGCCCTGTTTCTGCATTACTCTTACAGAATAAGCAAATATTCGGCAATACTTTACCCCTTTTGATAAGATTATCCACAATGAGGATTTTTACTTGCACGGCCACCCATAGAAAAGCTTGAACTTTCAGCAGTATGCACCATTTCTAAATGCAAGCAATTTCAGGCAAGGACCGCCTCCAGTGGTCATGAAACAGTAAGTGATACATTGACTTCACCGAATACAGACCATCTGACTCAATCTCCCATATGACTATATCTGAAGCATTTTGCGGCACATAAACTTCATGCAAAAGTGTCAACAAATAAGGCCAGCCTTTAAATTGACAGAAGATGTAGTTCTAGGTCAGAAAAACCTCACAATAGCTTGAAAATCCATGTTCAACCTTAATTACAAAATTTAAAATTCTAAAAATAGTACAGATCAAACAGATTTCTAAACATTTGAAAATCTTGAAAATAGACAGTCCAGATAACTTGTTATTAGATGCACTATGTTTAGGATTTTAATTTCTTTTTTTCTTTATATCTATACATCTTGATGTCTAGATGATCAATTGAAAGGCTTTTAAACTTCATGACATTCTTTTCTATTAGATTTTTTTATGTGCATCCCACATCTATAGTCGTAAGGTTGGGACCTTATATAAAGGTTTTCCTTTTTAATGATGGAAAAAGTTTATGAGTCAACCTTAACCTTATACTACAGAAGTAAGACTGACTACAAAAATACACAAGAAAAGTTTGATTCAACCCTAAAAACCCCTCCAATCGCTCATCTCCAACTCGAAATGTACATATTAGAAAAAAATTGATTTCAAGTCATCAAAATAGTGTAAAACATTATTTAAACCATCAATTTTTAAGATTTTCAAATATTTATAGATCTACTCAATATGCACCCCTCTTTTAGCTTTATATTTTAAATTTTGGATAAAAGTAGATTTAGGCTATCATAAAATTTCCCCATACCATACCAGAACTACATTTTTCGACACGATTTGGTAGTGCACCTTCTTTTCATTATATACAGTTGAGACGTCATACAAACCACGTTTTAATGATTCAATGTGATCTTAAAGACAATCAATTAATCCAGATCAGAATTGCCGATCCAAATTGACTCACTAGATAGCCAATCTGAGGGCCGATTTTCAGGTTTTAGAACAATCAAGGGATGTGATAGTGAATGTACCACAGGAATAGCATCCACCTCCAATCACGGCTGGATGGTACAACATGGGGTAGCCAGGTGGGGTCCCAGCTTCTCTCTTAAAGGGTAAAGAAATGAAAAACTTTCAAAACAAAAAAAAGAAAAAAAGCAACATGCTCAATGACAAAACATTATAGATTCTGATTTCCCTAAAGGCACAAATACTTTGCTCATTTTAAACACATTTCTAGAATTTTCTTGTGAACACATCATTGTGTTGAGCAAAACCTAATGTCCATTGATATTGCAACACTCTTTGTTGTCAAGACATTGAAAAAGTTCGCTCCCAAGTCGGCTTCGTGCTATGGCATAGCCACTATGCCATGGCCAAAATCATTTCATATTTTCTTGTTACCGGTTGCAACGCAAGTAAACATTAATATCGTGTAAACTAGCAAGCCTTCGCAATAATTGCGACATACACGAAACTTCTATAGCCATTTTGTTGATCCAAATTTTGAAATATACACTCTTTTCATTCTAATGAACAATCACAGAAAAATTTAAAAATTATAAACACAACCTAGAAAAAAAAAATTTAGCCCAATTAACAATAACCGTTCATTTTGGTGAGATGCTTAGATCTAGGCTTTAGAAGGATTTTTTCATTTCCAATTTTTTTGGATGGCTTTATTATCATTAGACGAACGATGTTAAAAAAAAAAAATGATTTCGAGTTTATAAAGGCTAAGATCTTGAAATTCACATAATGAATGGTCTAGATTCATATTTGGAGGGTACTCATTTTGACCATATCTAGGGTTCAAATTGAACTTTTTTTTGTTTGGGGATTGATTATTGAGATGAAAAGAGTATGTAAACAAAATTTGAGGTCATACAAATACCACAAACATGGTTTTCTAGAAGCGTCGTTACATTATACTATAATACAAGTGATGCATTGGATCATTGCTCACTTCTCTATAATATATGTTTTTGAAAAGGAAAAAGTTTATATAGGATGCAACCTTATAATGTAGAACTATAGATGCGCCTCAAAAATCTATCGGAAAAGATAGTTTTAATGTTGAAAAACCGTTTGATTGTTCATCTCGACATCGAGATGTATGACTATGAAAATAAAAAAGATTTGAAGTCTCATAAATAACGCATTTTACAACATATTATCTACACCGTCCATTTTCAAGATTTTCATATGTTTATAGATCTACTTGATTTTAACCATTTTTTAAATTTAAAATTTCATAATTAGTTATAAAAATAAATTTTGAGATAATCTTAAAAACATTTTACATCAAAATTATATCCCATGATAAAATTTGAAAGTGAACCTTACCTCTATAGCTACGAATGTGTCCATATGCCAGCTGCACCCTTTTGAAAAATGGATTGTATACCATAAATGAGACCATTTACCTTGAGGAAAAAGTTTGTATACCATAAATGAGACCTTACCTTTAAGAAAAAGTTTGTCTACCATATATGAATGAGACCATTTACCTTTAGGAAAACGATTATATAATGATGCAACTTTACTTTTGAAAAAGGGGTTGTATACCATAAATGAGACAATTTACCTTCAGAAACTAGTTTATATAAGGATGTAACTTTATGAACTAGAACTACGGATGCACCTCAAAAATCCATTGGAATCTCGAGATATATAACTATGAAAAATAAAAAGATTTTAAGTCTAAAAAATAATGCATTTTACAACATATTATCTACACCGTCCATTTTCAAGATTTTCATATGTTTATAGATCTATTTGATTTTAACCATTTTTTAAATTTTAAATTTTATAATTAGATATAAAAATAGATTTTGAGATAAGGGAAAAGTTTATATTAAACTGAGGCTCTAAACAATCAAATTCGAGCCTATTTCAAAAAATTTATTAGAAGAGGTTGTTTTGATGCCCGAATATCCTCAAATTGATCATCTCAATATCAAAATGCATGGATATGAGCAAAAAATGGATTTCAAATTTTAGAAATAGTGTATTTTGTAACGCATTTTTTTGCTGTCAATTTTAAAGATTTTCAAGTTTTCATAGATCTCTCGATCTATATTATTTTTTAAGCTTTAAACTTTATAATAAATATGAAAATATATTTCAAGGCCATCAAAAAGATTTCCATAATTGAAACCACATTTCTCGATACTATTGGAAGGTAGGTACTAATTTGTTTGTTTAGAGCCTAGGCTCTATACAAACCGCGCCCTTGAGATAATCCTACGAACGTTTTACATCAAAATTATATGCCATGAGAAATTTTGAAGGTGCAATGTTATGCCAACTTCGCCTTTATCTCGCAATTATTTATAACCATCCGATATGAAATTTAATAGTTTGGATGTGTTACAAAGTTTAAAAAACTTTATTTTAAAATTTATGCATAATCAACGAAATAAATAAAATAATTCAATTTTACATCGAACGTCAAAAATTAGCTCTGACCACCTTGTACGAGGTAAAGCGAGAGAGGGCGGGTACAAACCATTTCCGCAAAAGACAAGGGTTGTTGCAGTCGCTTGGTTTAGAAACCCATGACAAAGTCACGAAGCAGTCAACCACGACAAAAAGAAACAAAGAAAAACGAAAAGACAAAAAGAGGACAGAAATAAAAATGCAGGCTGCTCCCTCAATTGAGAAGGTGCAGCTCGGCTCGTTTGCTGCGGGAATATGGCTGCTGGCGTGCTCGGTTTCGCTGGAACTCGGCATCTGAAAAACCAGTCCGGCCATGTTGATGCTGGCCATGACTTTGGTCGGAGGACGGACCGAACTTCTCATGATTTCCACAGGTGTAAGTGTCACAGGAAGAAGAAGAAGAGCCACTTCTGGTTATCTCGGCCTCGAGCCGCTTCATCACCTCCATCACAGCCTCCTCTCCAAACCCCCCCTCCTCCCCACTTAGTACCTCCTCCTCTTCATCTCCTCGCTCAGCCATTTTAAAACAGAAGAACAAAAACCTAAACCCAAAGCTCTGCGCTCTCTCTCTCTCTAACAAACAGCTCTGCTCTTTCTCTCTCTAACAAAAAGCTCTGCGTTCTATAGAGAAGCCTTCGCTTTGTCTCTCTCTCTAAAAAACATATGCTCCCATCTCTCTCCCACTCCTCTCTCTAAACTTTTATCCTTTTTTACGTGTTCCACACGGCCAGGCCAAACTCAGGCTCGGCATTCTTTCTTTTTTTTAATCTCTGTTTAAGGGAAAAAAAATTTCATAATTTTTTCTTTTTAAAAAATTTAAAACCCCCGTTGACAAATAAAGCCTAGCCTATAAAGTATTTGCTACGAAGGCCCGAAATTTTTCTTGCAATAAAAAAATATCTGCTAACTATTTTTTCAAAAATTTAAAACCCCTTTATTGAGTTTTAGAGAAGGCGAAATTGGGTTTTTTAAGAGAATGAGATATTGAGATGGATTTCTAAAGAGGGAATGGGTT